TGTAGTAATCATTTATTAGGGCTGACTGTGTGACAGACAAAATGCTAAGCATTTATTTGAATTATCTCAGCCCTCATATCAGTACCACAAAGTAGGTGCTATCTATTTCCTCAACTGTGCTATCCTTTTTTTTTTTTCTTTACATTTTAACAACTCTAAAATGGGTGAATTTTGCGATCACTGTTGTGTCACAGTTTGATTAGCAGCAATTTTTCTTTCTTAGTTGTACATAAAAGAATGATGACATCCTAGATCTCAGAAAATGCAGTTTGAGCCCCATTTCTGTAGGTGAGGAACTTAAAGCTCAGAGAAGGACCTTGTCCAAGATCAAACAGCTAGTGAGTGGCAGGGTCAGAATTTGAACCCAGACAGTTTAACATTAAACTCACACAATGATGCTCAACTATCCGCAGTACCACCTTGACAGGTAATGTGCACTCCCAGAATCTGACGTGCCAGTGTGGTAATGGATGCTATACATCGACCCGAGGAGGCAGCAGTCTCTTTGGTTGCCAGGGCCACTGGGAAGAATGATGTATGATAAGTGAATGAAAAATCAAGTTTCCCGTAACAAGTAGCCTTTGATTTCTCTGGGGGTCCTTCAGCGATACAAAGCATCTATCAGTAGGAAAGTCCTGTGGGAAATGCTCATTCTTCCTAGAAGCTGAAGTTGGGTTGCAACATCTCCCAGGAGGAGCCACGGGGTCATCATCCCCCCATTCTGCATCTCCCTCTTACACAGGCAGCCAAGTGAGAACTCACCTCTGATTAGATCATCACCTGCTGTGAACTTATTCTATTTCCTAACATAAAGCCTGATTCTTCTTTAAATTGTGAAAACCCTTCTTAGACCATAATTAAGTTTCCATTATTGGTTATATTTTAAAAAACAAAATTGACAAGGCTTAAACTTGAGAATAACAAAATAGATATGTATTTTTCATTAATGGGAATTAGAATGAAGTCGTATGCAGGAATTGGAATGTGTCAGCTGCTGAGAGAGAGAGAGGCAGTTGATTTGGACAGCAGTGTGACTAATTAGGTTTTCTTTTGTGAAGGAATTAGTTTGTATTGATTCATTTATGTCTGATGTAACTCAGTAGTCATCTCCCTGCTGGGGAGAAGCCTGCCTGGACTAGTAAGTGATAAGAAGGTGGCAGAGCAGCTCCACTCTTCTGGGCTATGTGTACCTCTCAGCTGAACCAACTGTGCAGGGCCAGGATGACCAGGTCACTCCAGTGGGTGTCCATTCCCTGCTTTGACACAGGCCAATGCTGTAAACTATCCCTGCTGGCTGGATATGGAAGTCCTAACACTAGCTTGCCCTGAAAAACCACAAGAGAGAGCTCAGAGTCTAAGCTGTAGAGAGCTTATGCTTTTCTGATTCAATAAACCAAACCAAACAGGGACCCGCCCTATTTCTCATGCAGGAAAAAGCTCACTCCCCCTCTGTATTGAGGCCTTTCCTATCATTTCCATCTCAGGTGGGATAATCTCTCTAGTGAACTTGGCACTAGAGTTAATGGATCAAAAAAACAAAACAAAACAAAACAACCATGCAGGCAAAGCATCAAGGGCAACTTTTAGCATGGATAGTACTTTTCAGAAAGTACTACAATCTTCAGATGTGGTTTTGTAACTAATTAGCTACAGATGCTTGGTCAAGTGACTGAACCTCTCTGGGCCTGTGTTTCTTTATTTGTGAAATTCCCTTTACAAAATGACACCAGTAAATTTAAAGGCAGTCCTAAGAGGAAAGTACATTGCACTCCAGGCCTATTTCAAGAAATTAGAAAAAGTGCAAGTATTATCCCTAAAGGCCATTCAGAATCATTTCTCCCAAGAGACTAATAGTTTGCATTAAGTTATCCACATTCTTTTGCTCAGAAACTTGTCTTCAGTACACACCAATATCAATACATAGCAGTCTGAATTTCTACAGTCATAAAAAACCTTTATGTAAAAAAAAAAAAAAAAAAAGTGGGGTGCCTGAGTTGTCCAGTGGGTTAAACGTCTGACTTTGGCTCAGGTCACACTCTCATGGTTTGTGAGTTTGAGAGCCCCACACCGGGCTCCACATTGACAGCTTGGAGCCTGCTCTATCACCCTCTCTCTCTGCACCTCTGCCACTCATGTTCACTCTCTCTCACTTTCTCTCAAAAAATAAATAAACGTTTTAAAAAGGAAGTTTGGAGAAATTAGGTAAAGTCACATGTAAGTAGTGGAAGTAAGGTCAGTCAAGCCAGGTGCCCCAATCCCAGACTCACCTCATAGCCTGGAGGCAATGGACTTGGGAGGGAGGGGCTCCTGAAATAGTGAATCGCCCAGGACAGAAGGATGGAAACCAGGTTTGGGCATCCCAGGGATTTGTGGAGAAATGAGGAGACTTTTAGAGAAACTGCCAGACACAGAAAGTATAAACTTTCTAGTGCCAGAGCATGTGCTAGACCAGGGGCAGTTTAAGGAAGCTGTCCCGGGAATGGAATGTCCGGAAGGCCAACCCTAGGTAACCAGAATGGCAGAGCATAGGAAAGGCTCTCAATTCAGGTTCAAGTGAGCACCAAAAAAACCAAATTCATGCCATTCAGGGGCAGTCTTAGGACTCAAACAGAAAGGGCTTTGTCATCTCATTGACCACCACTTTTGGCCATTGTAATTTCAAATAAGTAAAGATCTGTTCTTTGGTTGCAAACAACATAAACTTATTCGAGCTAATTTGAACAATAAAAAAGAAATTTGGGGGAGCGCATGGGCAAATCCACAAGGGCAAATCCACAAAGTTAATGAAAAGCTGAACCTTAGACATAAGAACAGCCAGGGCAATCTCAATAGCAAGACTATTGGACAGTGACCTCAGGTCACTCCTGCAACCACTTCCTGTCCTTGGGTCAATCTGCTAAAGGTTTAAATTCCTGAATAAAGTATCTGATTGGCCTACTTTTGCAAGTGCTATGTGCACACATGCACAAGTGCACACAGGCACGCACATGTGAAGAGAGGGAACCGATTTTAATTGAAAGTCTCAGCAAGAGTTGTTTGCGGTGTGGGAGGAGTCATAATTACCAGCAGAAGAATGGGTCCAGAGCAGGCAGAAACAGTGGATGTCCACTGAAGACTCCCAGACCAGGAGTTCTGCAACAAGACTAAGGGAGCAGATGCCTTTCCAGGAGCTATCTGGAAAGTTTACAGGAGTTACAGGTTACTCAGAGCTGAAGAGAAACCCATGCAAGCAAGTGCTCAGGAAGGAGAGAGGCTCATGAATCAGACATTCAGAACAGGACTGATAGGTATCAAGCCTGGACAGTGTGACAAAATTTCACCTCAGCCAAAATCATCTTAAATATTCTTTGCTTTGGTGGGGTCCATCCAGAACCTGGGTTAGCCAGCCTGGTGCCTCCAGAGAGAGAAACACAGTGAATATGAGCTGTTTTAGGAGTTAGGTAATTGAAAATAATAGCAAGCCTTGCCAATGATAAGATAAAAAGCTAAACAATTAGTTCTGCCCTTGGGGGGTAGGTGGGCCCACAGCCAAACAGGACAGGAAGTATCTCTGGGAGTCTCTTTTGTGCCCCAAAGCACAGTAACAGATTCAAACACACACACACACACACACACACACACACACACACACACACACACCCGCACCAAGGGTAAAACCAGGGAATAGATGCTGTTGCCTTCAGTCTCTCCCTACCTCTCTTCAAGGATATAGTTTAGTGTCTTTGGCTTTCAAACTGTCCTCCATGCTTCTTTTATCTATTAATAAATTCATGCACAATGTGGTACACTTTTGCATTTTTAAACCGATTATCTTTTAGTCCAACTATGGAATAAAATATATTAAAACATTATGAAAAGAGCACTTTATGTGTTATCAGTAGACTTAGGTTCATGAATCTAGGCTGAGCACACATTAAGTTGGTCTCATTTTCACTCCCCATTACCAAAGGCAATGTGCAGGGCAAGGAATACTGTTTGCTCATCTTTCCCTCTCCTGGGCCATTCTCCTCCCTTAGCAGCTGGTCCTAAGTTGCTCTACCTTACAACTAAATCGCATCCATCTTTCATATCTGGCCCAAGTGAAGGCAGTGAGGCATGAAGGAAAGGATCAAAATGCCCCAGTTCAGACTCCAGCTCTACCAGTGGTGAACTGGAAAGCCTTAGACAAATTACTTTACATCTCTGATGTTCTGTTTTATGATCTGTAAAATGGAGGTAATCATACATCTCTTTCAAGACCATGAAATAGTTGATGTAGAAAGAAGTGCCCACAGTAGGCACCTGATAGCTATTATCATTACCTCTTCCATAAAGCCTTCCCTGACCAACCCTTTTCAGAGCAAATTCTCATTTTTCTCCATACCTTTGATGCAAATTCCCTGTACCATTCAGATAGTCATCACGTGCTCTGAGATGCTAAAATGTTATCTTTCTTCTAACACCTATATCAAAAAGGTGCCCAGTGTAGTCTTTTATTTTTAAGTTTATTTATTTATTTTGAGAAAAAGAGGGCACGAGTGGGGGAGGGGCAGAGAGAGGGGTAGACAGAGAATCCCAAGCAGGTTCCATGCTGTCAGCATGAAGCTTGACTCAGGGAGCTCGAACTCACGAACCCTGAGATCATGACCTAAGCTGAAATCAAGAGTCAGACACTTAACCCACTGAGCCAACCAGGGCCCCTCCCCAACGTACCCTTTAAAAATAACAACCAAAAAAAAAACCCAGAAAACAAAACAAAACCCACCTTCTTTGACAGTGTATGATCTCGTGCACTCCTTTTCCAGGAAATGTCCTACTAACTCAACTCCCCATCATCAAGTCCTATGACTTAGCAGCATGAGTAAGATGTTCAAAAGAAGACTATTTTGAGTAAGAAGTTTATAACTATACCCAAATATATCCAAATCTGTGCTCATTTTCCTTCCCAACTTAACCCAGAAATGTTTTTCATGCAGATATGCTTAATTTCTGAACCTCAGAACAAGCCCTTATTTCCTTACCCTTAGAGTTAGTCACTTCTCTGTTCCTGCTATTAATCCTATCTGCACCATCCACAGCCTTGCAGTCTTGTGTCCTGGTTGTTCACGTCATCCTCTGTTTCTCAGTTGTGCCCAGCGTCAGGATGTGTTAACCTAGAAAAAACACAGACGTGGGTGGATGTAAGTAAGACCCAGGCTTTATTAGAAACTCTGCCCACTCCTCCCCTTTCACACCTCCCCAGGCACCATAGCCCTCTGAGGAGTTACTGAATTTGGGTCTCATGTCATTCAATTTCTTTTTTTTAAATTTCTTTTTATTTTTATTTATTTCTAAGAGACAGTGTGAGCAGGGGAGGGTCAGAGAGAGAGGGAGTCACAGACTGAAGCAGGCTCCAGGCTCTGAGCTGGCAGTCAGCACAGAGCCCAACGCGGGGCTCGGACCCATGAACCGCAGATCGTGACCTAAGTGAAAGTAGGACGCTTAACCGACTGAGCCACCCAGGCGCCCCACGTGTCATTCAATTTCATCAAAAGTCCAGCACGGCTGCTTCATCTGAGTAAAAGTGCAGAGAGCGAGGAAGTTTAGAGCCCTAATATCAATTCAGTAAGCTCAAACCAGAGACACAATCTGGCTTTAGTGGAAGAGATAAAAGGGCATGGTTGATGGCTTCCCTGGGTGGGAGAGAAATGAAGTCTGAAGGCTGTTTTTGCTGAGTGTGCTCGTTGTCAGGTGTCTGCAAACAAATCCCTAAAAATTGAGCAAGATCAAAGGACTCGTCAAAGACCCATTCATCAAAGCTGGAACTCCACGTAGTCTGTTACAAACCACGTCTTCTATCCACTCACAAGAGAATCTGCGCAGGAGAGAGCCTTCAGCCCTGCTTATTGGTGTAAATCAAACAATACCAGAAATGGGGAAGGGAGAAAAAGATAAATGCCAGGAAAATCAAGGTCTCTAAAAGTTTTATGGCCTTTTGAGAGACTCAAGAAAATCTCTACCTCCTTATTCCTTCTTTTCCTAGCAAGGCTCTTGCTAGCACCAAAAACAGATTTATAGTTCTTACTATTTGTAAGACGTAACACATTGAATGCCAGCAATGATAATGTACAATGTACAACTAAATCCAAACACTGTTCTGTGGGCTGACATTCAGAAGAGATAAACCACTGAAATATCAATGAGAAAAAAAGACAGAAAATGGCCCTCAGGAACAAGTAAATGTGAGTGTATTTACAGACTTTTTTTACTTTCCCCACCACGCTGTGGGAGAGTATGAGCTCTGCACCCAAGAGAGTGCCTTGCTTGGAGGGGCAGGCACTCCAAGAATTAGAAGAATTGCACTTTGCTTTAGCTACTTTTGAATGCTGGGTGTAAACAGACAGAGTTTGCCCTGGACACAGATGATAAACAGATAGGCAGAAAGGAAATGCCCAAGGCTACATCTATTCATGAGTAAGGACAAAACCATGAATGGCAGACAAACTTGCAAAGCAGAATGCTGCCTTGAAGGATCAGGTTGGATACAGACTCAGAGCAGATTCAGTATTGCAATTAAAGTTCATAGCTTTTTCCACATTGTCTCCAAGGCCAACTGCCAAGTGGAAAGGAACAATAGACGAAATGTTTCTATGTTTCTCCCCTAAAAGATCTTGGTGAGACAACAGATGATGACTTTTATAGACTCAAGGTTATGAGCCCAGATGTATTTTCCAGTTAAAACAGACAGAAAAATAGAAATCAGTTTTGGACCTTGCCAAGCATTGCGATGCCATTGCCAGACAAGTCTTGTCTTAATTTTAAAAGCATTTGAGAAATGGGATGCTTCTTCTACAGTGTGGTTTCCTAGTATTTTTCTACAACAAAACCAAATGTTGCAGAATTTGAAAGAACCAAAAATCATACAGTCCAATTAAGGTTTCAAGTGAGAACTGTGTTCTCTCAAATGAAGTCTTTTCATGAGGAACCAGGATCCTCATCTCTTATAATATTTGGGGCTTGGCTACTATTATCCTTATTCTTCCACGTGGTTTCTGACCCTTTTCCAGGAAGTAACAGCTGAATACAAAATTAGGATGGGGGGGCAGTCACACCTGGAAGACTGTTCCGGGGGTAGTCCCTCCAGGAAATAAATCCACACACTTCAGTGACAACAGTGGGAAATGTTCTCAACAGGCTCGCTACACAGCCGCCATTGGGGTAGGGTGGGGGTTGTCACTATCTTTCAGAAACAGCTTTTACTTTGGTTTCTTAAGAAAATAGTACATGCCCTTTCTGCTTCCCACTGAGAGTGAATTACTCTTGCCTGCGCTCAAGCAGAGAGAGGCTGACTGGGCTGGGAGCACTCAGCTACAGCCTATTAAACTGAAGTTGCCTTTAAAGTTGGTTAATGACAAGAAAAACTGTGTTTCCATCTATCTATATATCCAAGCTCAGACATGGGAGAAGAAACTTTGTGTGGAAAAATGCCTTCATTTTACAAATTTGAATGTTCCTGACTTAACATCTAAAAACTCTAAAAATAAAAACATCTTGAAAATTATTAAATCTATATTCTATGAGAATTCAAATGCATGCCTGCTTGCTCCCACACCCACAAACAAAACGACTTTCCTGAAGGTCAAAACTCCACACAGTATAGTTAGGCAAAGAAGGCAACATACCTTTTCTCCCTCCCTCTATCATCATCATCAGTGGTTAGCATTTACACGGCACTGTGCTCTTGGCTGTTTTTCATAAGCATTCCTATCAGCTGGCCCTCAGCAGTAACCTTCCTTTAGAAGTCAGGTCAGAGAATGCTAGTTTGCAAATGAGAAACAGAAGCCAAAGTATTTGCCCAGCATGTCAGATCAGGAAACAATGTCTGAGTATATACATTTAAAACTGAAAATAAATTATATAGCCATCATATTCCCAATCCCAGGTGTTAATCACCTAGGGTCATTGATTCCAAAAAATTTTTCAGGCCAAATTTGTAGCAATTTTATTACTCGATTTCTGATATCTTTCTCTTTATTCTTTATTGCAATCAGCTTTAGGTACTTCTAAGACAAACTTTCTGATATAAAATAACATTAACATAAAGACTACTTACTTGGAATTACCCTCCTATCTCTCAGTCTTACAAAGCCTGGTTTTGTTCTTTATTTGTTTTAATAATCAAAGGCTATACCCATAATTGTCCAAGTCAACTGACCTAATTACTGCTGTCGTATGCTTGACCATTGTTTTAAGTATGTTAAATAACTAAGAGTTGGCGATTGTATATGTCCCTGTCACCGTTTTAAAAGACAAAGGCACAGTTTCAACTTTCAATAATTTCTTCTTAGCTTTTAATGGAAAGTAGAAATGGTGAAGAAAATGCAAGGCAAATGCAACATCAAGGGCCACTATTTGTCAACTGTAAAGCACCACAAATGTCTGTTGGTGTTGCCCATGAAAGGAATAGGGTGGGGAGAAGGAGGAGGCAACTATCATTTCCATAAAGAAGTAACCAAGCTTCATTTCTGGTCCTTAGTTTCAATCACATAGACAATCAGCCTTGGCTAATTACAAACTGGTTTTGAAATGTTAGAATTACAACATGGCTGGTGGCCTGATCTGGAAGTCTAACCTTGATTGAATATAAGTTGACCACATAACGCCTTTATTTTGTCAGAGTGATAGGATCTCAGTCACTTACCTAGTCTTTGATCTTGAAACTTATCAAATGGCAGAATGATACATAATGCCATAAAATCCAACTGGAAAGAACCTGGGACTAACATGTTCTTTTCTCCAGCAAAGGACACTAAAAACATTTGGTACCTTTTCAAAATCAGAACATTCAATAACCTGCAGTGATTTTAACTAGGTACAAAATGTGATCATTTTGAACTCAGATAGTAATCCATTTAAGATTTCCTATCTGAAATTCTACATCAACCATAAAAATAAGCACTAACTCATATACTTTGGGCCTAAAGAAAAACATCCAATAAACTACAAATAGCTAACTCTGGTTTCTTTGTTTGCATTATTCCCAGGTGTATCTGCACAGATAGCCTGCAAGTAGCATGCAAAGGGTACCTTCACCCCATTCAGATGACTTCCTTTCTGGTACAACACCCACCCTAACACTGCCTCCAAGTATTTCCTTAACTCATGCTGCTGTCTCCCGGGTATGCACCACCACCACCACTCACGGTCTTTGTTATCTAGCTCAAGCCAGTGGCTCTGAATAATTGGAAAACTGATCAAGCAGCCACTTCTGAAACATTGGTAGTAAGGCTGTGTAGTATGCTGCAAGGGCCAGGTTCTGGAGCCAGACTGCCCAGGTTCCATCTCACCTTTGCCAGTTTTTCTTTTCTTTCTTTCTTTCTTTCTTTCTTTCTTTCTTTCTTTCTTTCTTTCTTTTCTTTCTTTCTTTCTTTCTTTCCTTCCTTCCTTCCTTCCTTCCTTCCTTCCTTTCATGTTTACTTCTTTAAACATTCCTTCCTTCCTTCCTTCCTTCCTTCCTTCCTTCCTTTCTTTTTTTAATATTTACTTCTTTATTTTGAGAGAGTGTGAGCAGGGGAGGGGCAGAGACAGGGAGAAAGCACAGAGCCCAACGTGGGGTTCAATCTCACAAACCAAACTGTGAGACCATGACCTGAGCTGAAGTCAAGAGTTGGAACCTTAACCGACTGAGCCACCGACGTGCCCCTCACCTTTGCCGGTTTCTAGCTATTTAACCTTGGTTTAAGTTTCTAAACTCTGTGTCTCAGCTTCCTCTGTAAAACAGGCATGATAAAATTACCTCCCCACAGACTGTTATTAGGATTGAACGTGTGGATATGTCTAAAATATGTGTAGTATTACCTAGAATACAGTAAGATTTATACTTAAATTAAAATTTAATGAAATGATGAAATTCATTGAAATGAAATTAAAATTTCATTGTTAAGGGCAAATTTTGAAAAACGTTGCTGTTGTCCTATTATAGTCTGAAAAAACCTCTGCCTCTCTTTGGTCTGGCAGGTAGTTCTCAACACCCTATGACAATTCTCTGACCCTCCTTACCCACTACAGATAGGACAACAGTCACCAGGCCCTCTGGTGCAAGCACTCCCTGGATTCTACCCATACACCTGTCACTCATATATCACCCAACCAATCCCTCTGGCCCCCACCACTC